CAGAGACTAAATTCAATCCATGACGCATTATGTCTTAGACTCGCTAACTGAAGCCTGTTTAAGCCCAGTAACGTTGAACTACAGCAGTAATGCTGAAAGTAATATGTACAGGAACTATTTCTACCATCTCCACCCAACCTACCTGATTCCTTGGCTTGGAACAGCTACATGTTGGGGGTCTTTATAGAAGAGAGATGGAGTGAGGGGATTTTGAGACATGAGAACAGGTAGGAGGTCACGCGGCCCCTGGAGACTCTAATGCAGGGGAGTAGGCAGGCAGGTGTTTGGGAGAACACAATCCCTAGGATAGGCTTTCTTCACATACTATCATATCATGACCTTGGATTGGACTCCTTAGGCAAAGGTTTGGGCTGAAGTGCAGTCTTACAGTGCAGAGACATTGTGGAAAATATGGGGATCCAAGAACAATTATGATCCAAGGTAGGACCTCTACTGTGATGGTGGCCCCAGCTCTAGGAGCCACCCTGGAGACAGGAGTATAGCAGAGAACCAGGTAAGGATGGCGGAGCAGCCGCACAAAGGCAGGCACATCTGGATAGCTATATTCTAAAATACAAATATGAGCAATTTAACCAAAACCAAGTTCCTTGAAGCAAAAAGGTCTCTGCCAATACAGGATAAAACTAAGTATTTGTTAAGAGGTTTTGAAGTGCATCACAGCTACAAAGCTGAGGTTGTCCAAGCTGAAAAATTCCTGATAAAATAATCTAGTTTTTGAAGTTATTAGGAGGGTGCTCTCGGTCACCCAGACAAATGTGCTCATACCCACACTGCACATGGAATTTTTATAGCTTATTTGTGGATAGAAAATAGCTTAAAATATTTGCAGAAATTTGTCCCTTTCTTCATAAAGAGTTGCAGCTAATTAGAATTTCCATTTTGTTTTGCTCTCTGACCTCTCTATTGGCTTGTAAGCTATTAAGTGATGTTCTAGCCATTTGTTTGGGATATGGGAGTTGTTTTGCATCTACTTTGCAAAAAAAGCATCAAACACGGTGTCAAAACACGTTACAGTTATTAGGCAATTTAATACAATGTCATTGTTTTTCTTAGTGGCCAGTGGCTCTATGAAAAACAAAGCTCTTCCCGCCTATTTAGTATTTTGGGATGCATTAGTGATGCATTATTAATGTAGTGAGGAGGTTGCTATTTTTAGACCTGGTTATATTAGGAATAGAAGAAGCAAAATTTAGTAAAAATGTATGTGGCACTAAAATGTAAATAATTGGCCTAATTTGAGGAATTGACTATGATCCACATTTGAATGTTTTCACTTGAAATGTACAAGATAATTGGCCAAAATATGTATCATTTTACAGGACATCCTCCTTTCACTGCTAGTTTAACATTTGTGAGAAAATAAAATTGCTTCTGAGTCTCTGAAGAATAACAACTACTCCTGATTTGGTTGGGGCCAAAATTCCAGTTAGGCTCCACTAAATGTTGAAGGGAAATGAATGCCTCCTTCATTAGATATAGGAACACAACGATTTTGTGGCTAATTAGAATATGTAGGCATGTATCACAACTCTTATAAATGCTTGCAAAGAGCAAGATACATTTAAAAATGGATTTAAAAGTCTCCTTCAGGGTCTAATTGGACTTACAAGATAAGCAAGGATAAATCTCTTTGCCATTAAAAAATATGGAAAATGAGTTCTGCAGTAACACTAATAATTCTGGGCCTATTCCAAATTATCAAAATCTATCATAATTCATTTTTGACTTGTCAACCAATCTGAAGTGCAATTCAGGAGGAAAGAAGGTAAACTGGAAGCTAAAAATAATTCAGGAATAACTCAGTTGGAGTCAGGATACTTTCTGTGAAACTTACCTGAATGAATGTTACATATAACTTGACACCTAAGCCTGACCTCAACACGAGAAAAAAAATTGAGGTTATTCCTAATTCATGGTGGATTCTACATAGAATGGCATGATCCGCCTTTTTCCTCGACTGGGGAGAAAAATGGGCGGGAACTAGGAGGAAGAAACATAATCAAGCAAGCAAGGAATGTTGGCGTGTGGGCCGAGTCGTGTTGGGGATAAAGGAAATGCACACAAAAGTAGGTGTCTTACAACTCTGGAGGTGGAAGGTGCCTCTGAGATCACTTGTCCTGCGGACGGACTTGTGCTGAGTGCAGGGAGGTCCGCAGAGCTGAAGATCTTCCTTAGAGACAGATGCAGGGCATAAAGTCTAGCCTAATGGGGGGCTCTGGGTACCCCCTACCCTCCACGACCAGAGAGGGATCTACCTGATTATTATATTTGGATCCTGCATAAGATTTCATATTTGGGTAGGAAAAAAGCCTCTACTCCATGGCATAACAATACTTAAAAATCATTGTTGTTGGGGTCCCCCTTTACACTCACTCCAGTAGCATTATTGCAGAAATAGGAGAATAGCTAAGAACGGATGCTCAAGATCTAGTCTCATATCCGCATGCATTTCTTTTCAACAAATATTTGCAAAGCACCTACTAAGTAGCAGCTAACGTGCTTCCTGTTTTCCAGGCTGGCTAGAATGACCCATGTGGCAACCTGAAAATGGATACCATTTTACCTCTCAGCTGGAGGGAAATGATTTGATAAGTTGGCGCATAACAACTTTGTAACGTGCTCAGCATGTCTTCCAAATCGAATTATCAAGAAATGACAAGCTTCCTAGTTCCACCCACATTACAGGCCTAGATTTGGCCATCTCAATGGTGAGAAAAGCTCGCCATTTGCAATTTTAGTTCAAGACATTTGCTGTGTGCCCAAAATTGGTGGGGGAATAACGGCAAAGAGGGACAAAGGTGCAGTGAGTTCCTGGTGTAGTGGGAACTCATGGCTTGGGCCCTAAGTAAGCAGAGGAAAAGTAAACCTACTGCTTGGAACTCTGTCCCTTGCTTGATAGAAAGAGGCCAGTGATGTCTGCAAGGGAAAGATATAACCAGGCCCAGCATGGGAGCAGAGGAGGCTTTGGGACTCATAGTACAAAAGTGACCATGGACGGATATGCTTCAGAACATTCTGGTGTATTCCAGCATTCTGCGGCTTGTATCCTCACGGCAAGATCTCAGGCCACAGCTGAGGTTCTGAAGTCCACTGTTTTAGAAAATTGATTCAATTCCTGGCTTCTGGGCAGTCTTTTTTATGGAATGTTGACCAAGAGAGGAATATTCTCTTTACTTGCCTCTGGAGTAAACTCCTGTTTACTTGGGATGTTGGAAGTAGGGTGACTGACTCATCCAGGTTTACCCAGGACTTTCTGGCTAATCCCAGGCAAACTGGGATAAACAGTCATCCTAAGGAAATAAGAGTCAAGTAATAGACTGGGTCTTTCAGTAATACACCACTGCAAAAGTGAGAGGCTTAAAACCCCTCTCATTTTGTTTACTCACCATTCTGCACTGTGAAGGGATCAGCTGGGTGATTCTTCTGGTCATCTTACTGATGATTGTTTGCAGGGTTGCATTGAGGTAGCGGGTCTGCTGGGGTTTCCCTGCTACCCTGTGGCCTCTCCAAGGGGCTTTTCATATCAGGGTTGCTGAACATTCTCCTTGGTGGCACAGGGTTCCCTCAGGGTGCCACGCCTTCCTGGTTTCTCAAGGCTTAGGCTGCAACTGGCCCAGTGTCCTTCCACTGTATCTTATTGGCAAAAGCCAGTCACGGTGCCACTGTAGTATCAAGGTGAGGGGACTTCGCGAGGAGTATCAAGGGGTAGTTCATGGTGGGATGGGGTGACACATGGAACGGTCTGCTTCACAGGTGCAGTGGGATACTCATTTAGACTCACAGGATTCAGGTGCCTGATTGACCTCTGACCTGCTTGCTGGGCCACCTGCCTTACAGGTTCATACTCTCAGAGAGAACGGAATATGGGTAGTTTCGCCGTTGGTCAGGGTCTTGAAGAGCTCTGGGTGAGGCATGTGGCAGAGGTATCTCTATTATTCTTTACTTCTGATCAACGGACCGGGGAGGGTGAATCTTTGTTTGCAAGAAGCAACAGGTTAAGAGACCTGGGTCTTGCAATGTTCAAGCGAGGCGGCAAAGGACCTGATTCTGCCAGGAAACACTTCTGGGGGAGTAAGTCTCCATGCCAGGGTACAGGCTCCAGGCAAGAATTACACAGATCACCAAAGCACAACCCCTTGCTTAAAGCGACTGACCCTTCTCAACATGCACCCTCCCTGCCTCCGACCCCAAATCTCGTCTTAACATTTTTTTTAAAAGATTTTATTATTTATTTGACAGAGAGAGAGAGATCACAAGTAGGCAGAGAGGCAGGCAGAGAGAGAGAGGGGGAAGCAGACTCCCCACCAAGCGGAGAGCCGGATGTGGGGCTCGATCCCAGGACTCTGGGATCATGACCTGAGCCGAAGGCAGAGGATTTAACCCACTGAGCCACCCAGGCGCCCCTCGTCTTAACATTTGAACAAGTGGGCGCACTGGTTTCCCTCTCTACTGTAGCTCTAACCCCTGAACTGACTTGGTTTCCCAGCCTGCTTTCCTCTGTGGGTCTGTGAGCCTCCTGAGGGCAGGAGCGAGGCCCAGCTTTCTGCAACACGCAGATGGGGAAGGCTGCCCTTTCTGGACGAGCCCATCCACCCTCCAGCCAGGGCACCTCCAGCCCTGGCTTTCCCCTTCCTGCCTCCCTCCCCCACGCCTCCCCCACCCGGAAAGAATGGGGCCCCTCTCAGTCTCCCCCAGCACAAACTCCGCCTTTAAAGAGCCCCAGAGCTGCCTCAGGGCCCTGGAACTGCGGCTTGGCGTCGTCCTCGTCCTCTTCCTCCTCCCGACCTCCTCTTCCACTACAGTGGGCATTTTGACTTCGGGCTCCTTCTCTCTCCTTTTCTCGCTGCTCGGCCGGGTACCGCCTCCAGGCCTCGCGCGCCCCGCCTCCGCTCTGTCGCTTTAAGCCGGTCCGGCGCTGAGCCCCTCCCTCACCCCTCCTGGCGCTCCTCCGCTGCTCCTCGCCGCCCCTCCCGCTCCTCCTCCTCTCCCGCTAGTCCTCGCCGCCGCCGGCCCGCCGCCCGCTCCGCTCCTCTCAGCCTCCTGGACCAGCAGCCATGGCCGACATCAAGACGGGCATCTTCGCCAAGAACGTGCAGAAGCGACTCAACCGCGCGCAGGAAAAGGTCAGGGCGGGCGGCGGGGCAGGTGGCGGGGGCGCGGCGGCGAGGGCCGTGCGGGCTGGGGCAGCGCTGGAGGCCCGGCCGGGGGCGCGGGGACGCTCTGCGCGGCGCCTCCGCTACTGCGGCGAGGCGGCCACGGGCGGGGAGGCGGGAGCGTCCGGGCGCGCGGTCGGTCCGAGTCTCCCCGCATGCTCGCCCCCCTCAGGGCCCGCGGCTCTCCCGGCTCTCCCGGGCGGCCGCGGGCGCGAGCGGTGGCAGGTGCGGCGACTCCCCGGCTGTCCCGGAGCCCAGCGCATCTCCCTGCCCGCGGCCGCGTCGCTCTCGGCTGGCCCGCGGATCGGGGAGATTGCGGCAGCGGTCCTCCCTGCGGGGGGGTTTCCTGGGGACCCGAGTGCAGTAGAAACGACTGGGGTAGCGCAGAAGCTACTCTCAGAACCTGTGTGGATCGAAAGGGCTCATCACGGAAAAACCAGTGGCTTTAATACGGTGCTGTCGAGTGAATCCAGGAGTTCAAAATAGACATCTAGATACACACTTCTTTCCATTTTCTGTTCTCTTTCTTTGGGTCTCTCTGAGTGTGTGCCCCTTTTGACGCCAGTGTCCTCTGGAAGGTCAAAAATAAATATGACCCCAACCTTACAGTTCTTTTCTGCACATTTGTGCACAAAGGAAGGCGTTTTATTGCATTAAAAAAGGAGAGATCCGTATTGCATGTACAGGTTGGGTTTCCTAGTGTGTTACAAGCTCCCCGGCAGATTGACCCCTCAGTAATTTATTTTTTTTTCTCCCAGAGCTGGGCACAAATGAATCCCAGGTTTACACCAGGCACAGCGCTGAGCAGTTGAGGTCTTGTACCAGACATTGGGCGCTTGTCATCAAGACCTTGCCAGCACTGAGGTCTTCATTTGTGTCTCCAGTGAAAGGACATTCACACGGTAGCTTAAGCATTGTACTTGAAAATGAACACCGCTCTTTGAGCCCCATGGTTTGTATCAGCTGAACTGTGTTCTCTTTCATGTGGCAGTATTTTCCGTCTCTGGGATTCTGGGTGTCTAGTGTTTTCCTCTTTTACTGGAAGTCAGATTTGCCGCGGTGCTCAAAATGACAGTGAATTTCCCTTTTCAGACCCTGATTCAGGCTGCTCCCCAGTTGCCACAGATGTCGAGGAACTGAGCAGAAGGGGGCACTGATCCTTTGCCAATCCCCAGGCCCAGAGGCTCTGTGGCTGCCTCTAGTCCCTCCCTCCACACATGCACGCTCTCAGTGCAGTAAGAGGATTGTATTTCTTTTAATATCTACCCAAGCTCATCCTGAACTAACGGGAGCCTCCTCTGCGCTCCTTCAGTAGCTGAATTAGCAAGGTTTCTTGCCCTCTTCCTGTTCCTGCCTACTTGTACAGAAAGTAGACAGGATTCTTCCGCACCCCTGCCGGGTTTTGTCATCATTTTTCCTTATATTGTTTTGCCCATTCGTATGTATTCCTCCCCACTTTCCCCTTCCAGGTAATTACTTGAATCTTTGGTGGGAAGCTTTTTATTGTATCTACTTTCCTTCCACCTGTGAAGGAATTTAGTGATAATAATCTGCCTTTTCACATATTAAATTATTTCTTAATCTAGGTCACCAGCTGTTAATATGCCCAAAATGAATGGAAATGTAATCTGTCTTACAGAGCATTCAAGCTCTTATGAATTGTTGAAAACTCACTTTGTCATTATTAAGGTCAGGTGCGTATTACCATTGCAGCTGGGGACGGTGGTTGCTTTTCCATGGGAGTGGCGGTCTAAGGGAAGCTTACCTGCATCAGGCTTCAAGAATCCTATTTTCTTCCCTGGGGAAAGTTGCTGATGAAGAGTGCCAGCTGCACCAAGTTTAGGGGTAAAGACACCGAAAGGCTAAGAATATGGGTTCTGCCGGTGGGTACCTTCTGCCCCTTTTCTGAGCCCGTGCAGCACAAGGAAAAGGACATGTGGGAATTCAGGTGAGGTCGCCCAGTCAAGCCCAAACAGAAGCCACTGGAGGGTAGAAATCACAGTAAGTTGCTGTCGCAGGCATTAGACATCTCCTGCAGTGATTCCTTCCTCTTACATCTCTGGATGGTTCCTCTTCTCCGATGCACAGATGTTCCATGGTAATATCTGTGTGCCTCGTGTGTTCTGGAGACCTTGGCTCATTTGTACAACCAAATTTTCTCAAAAGCGAGTTACTCCCATGACTTTCTCATCATCTGTGCTACACCTAACAGCTGCATGCATTTTTAGCTCCAAATGCATGACTGAAGCTACTCAGGAGGAGGTCTTACTTTTTTTTTTTTATGAATTTAAAATACATTTTATTCTTATTGAAGGTCTGTGAAGGTTCATTGCAGAAGAGTGAACAATATATAAGCAAGGAAAAAACTAGTAACAAATCAGGACTATCGTAATTCTACTACCCAGAAATTTCACTATCATTAGATGGGTATTCTAGTGGATCTTTTCCCATATGTACATAGATGTATCGATACAACAAAAACAGGCTCATACCTTTAGTTTTTTAACCTGTTAATTTCATAATCTTGAGTATGTACATATTTTCTGTCGACATTTTAAACGACTGAACAGTATTGGAATGCATGGATTTTAATGAATCTCTCATTTTTTGGACAGTTTCCCATGTTTCTGTATCTATAAATACAAATCCATGGGAAAATTTGTAAGGAAAATGGTTGCACATAGTAGGGAAAATGTTTGCGTCTACTCTGAAGTATTTCCTTAGATAAATTCCTAGAAGTATAATGTCAAAGGTATGCTTGTTTTTATTATAGCTGGATTGCTTTTCAGAATGCTTGTATCCATTTAACATTCTCAACAGGGGTACATGAGACACTTGCCAACACTGGATAATAAAATTCATAGTGGTCTTTAGCTATGTCATTGGAAAAAAATGAGTTCCCATTTATTTCATTTGTTTAATTATTAAAAACCAAACATTTTTATATTCCTATTTTTTTTTCACTTGTGAATTGTGTGTTTATATTTTTGCCCATTTTATGTAGCATCTCCACCCTATTCTGTGTAAGGGTGAAAACTATTCTAAAGGTTACAAATACGGTTTCTTTTCTATTTACTTTTTAATTTTTTGATGATTTTTTTCTGCCATAGTTTATATTATGTTTGTTTCATGTATATCTGCTTAAATCTATCAATTTCTTTTTTTTAAGATTTAATCACTTGAGAGAGAGAGAGAGAGAGAGAGAGCGAGCATGAGCAGGAGAGAGTGGCAGAGGCAGAGGGAGAAGCAATCCCCCTGCTAAGCTGGGAGCCCGACCTGGGGCTCCATGACAGGGTCCTGGGATTGTGACCTGAGCCGAAGGCAGACGTTCACTGAGCCACCTGGGTGCCCCTATCAGTTGGTTTTGTATGGCTTCTTTCTTGGGTGTTGAGTTAATCAGGACCCTGCCACTTGTAAATATCAGAAAACTCAATTCAAGCTGATTTAAGTAAAAAGGGGACTATAATTACTAAATTACTAAAATTTAAACTAAATACTAAAATTAAAAATAAGGCTCTTGCACGTATAATTTTTAATAAGATTTTTAACATATAAGTAGATAATTGTATTAAACTACAAATGCTCTTACACCTGTGTGTATATATATAAATGTATGCGTATGAGAATATGGGTTCTTACCCATATTGAGGTAGGTACTATTACTGCCCCATTTTAAAGATGAGGAAGGGGTTAGGTAACATGCCCAGGATCACACAGTAAGTAGCAAGGGTTATGTTTGAACCCAAGAATTCCAGTGTTTCCCATTATGTGATACTTCCTCTTATAATTAATGAAAAAGGCTGGGGTAGACAAACCTCAGATCTATTAGAACCTGGGGTTCAACCACAGACAATGGGGCTCACATGCCTTCATCTCCGCTGTTCATTCTGTCAGCCTCATTCTTGGGCCAGTTTTTCTCTCTTGGGGGTAAGATGGTTGTCAGCAGCTCTAGAGGAGAGCGTGTTTTTCCTTCAGCATTTACAGAGATCTCAGTATGGTTCTCATTGGCCTAAATGGGGCCTTATGCTTCTCTCTGGGAGGAAAAAAATCCCTCTGGCCAAGGACCGGGACCATGGGTTGGATTGAGCCGCCTGAGTCGCAAACTGCTGCTGAAGCTGGGATGGAGAACTTCCCCCTGGACCAAATGGACTGCGGTGAAGGAAGGAAAGTCAAAACCCAGAGGGGGAATGAATGCTTCCCTGACAAAATGGTATCCGTTGAGGGGTGCCTGGGTAGCTCAGTCAAGCCTCTGACTGTGGCTCAGGTCATGCTCTCAGGGCGGTGAGATTGAGCCCCACTGCAGCACCCCACTCAGCGGGGAGTCTGTCCCCCTCTGCTCTCCCTTTGCCGCTCCCCCCGACCCTTCTATCTCTCTCAAATAAATAAATAAAATCTTAAAACCAGGTATCTACTGAGGCATATTTAAAAGGCCTTGTCTGTCCCATGTTTATATAAATAATCATATAATTTATATTTTAACATTTGTGGAAAAATTTTCCTACCAAATTAATGTATACAGTTTAAAAATCAAATATAATAAAACAATGTAATGTAAAGGGCTTATTATGAAAAATAGCAGGCCCCCTTCCCCTGTCCTCAACCTCTAGTCTTGTTTCTTCGGAGGGAAGCTATTACTAACCACAACATCTCTATAAAATATGCTTATATAACTATTTCTTCATCTATTTTTTTCATATTTGGTGAAGATAGGTAAAGATTTAGTTGTCTTACATTCATCTCTTTACTTCTTCATTCTCTAGTCATGTATTATGGCAAAACCCATTGATTGCTGAGGATTATATCTTTAAAAATTGAAGTATAATTTTTATTGAATAAGTTATACAAGTCTTAAGTATTCCACTTTGTGAATTTTTATGTGTATGTATATCTGCATGGTTATCACCCAGTACAACTTATAGAACATTTCTGTCACATCAGATCTCTTGCGTTTTTTTTTTTTTATTGGTCTT